AAAAGGCATGACCAGAAATTCATAGTGCCCATTGTGAGTCTTAAATGTAGTCTTGTAAACATCTTCATGAGACATTCCGATATGGTGGTAATTAGATTTGTGGTTTATCTTAGAAAAGATAGAGACATCAACCAACTCCTTTAAGAGTTCATCTATTAAAGGAATAAGGAATTTGTCCCTTACCGTAAGCATGTTTAATGCTCTATAATCAATGTATAGCCTCCATGATCCATCCTTTTTCTTGACCAGGACTATTGGAAAAGTAAACCTGTGTTGGATGGTTCCCATATCTAGCATCTCTTTAATTATTTTCTCTACCACATCCTTTTATATACTTGAGTGTCTATAGGGCCTAAGGTTGATTGGATTAAATCCCTCCTGTAAAGGTATACTATAGTCATGACTACGAGGTAGCGGCAAGCTTATAGATTCCTCAAACACTTCTCGGTATTCTTCCTATAGAACTGTTAAAGCAGCATTTTTAATAACACAGGGTCGTAACTGACACGACTAAAAGGTTGATGTCTTCTCCCAAGTGTAGGAGTGTCGAAGTAATAAATAACCCGGCAAGACCGGGGTCGAACCACAGGGAGGTTAATTGTAAAAATTATAAACAACAATTATAAAACAACAATAACAACAACAATAACAACAATAATAATAATAATAGTAGTAGTAGTACTAATAATAATAATAATAATAATAATAATAAAGAAAAAGAAGGAGAAGAAGAAGAAGAAGATGAGAACTTTGAGATGGAATATTAATGTAACGATTAAACAATGATAATAACAAATGTCAAGGTTAGAGGTTCCACTAATGGTATATCAAACAAGTATAGTATAAACTCTTATTATTGAATTGGAAACCACACACAAAGGAGGTTCCAATCAGATTATATATTGTTAACATGATTACATTAGTCATCTTATTCAATTAATGCTAATACTTGTAAATCTCGTCAAGCATTCATGATTATAACTTATGTTAACAATAAATCAAGTTCCTTTCATAGCTCAGGTGTCGGTTATACCATACATTATGGGCTATGAAAGTGCCAAGCATTTGTTGTACCAAGTGTTATACAACATAAATCAAGATTAGTTATTTAACAAGCAAAGTATTAAAGAGTGAACAAGATAACAAATATAAAACATGTTAGTATCAAACATTAAAGTCCATATTAAGTTTACATTATACTTATTCTTACACCATTAGTGTAACCTTTTCACCTTGACATAATTAACTTAGCTAGACATAATGAAAGAAAGCAAAATAGATAAACAAAATAAGAACATAAAAGTTAACTAAGTAAAGGAAAGGAAATGAAAGGCATAAACTTAATATTAATGAAAACAAAGCATAAAAAATACAAAGAGAGAAAGGAAGAGCATGATCTTGATCTGGAAATCAAGATGCCTAAATGCATGGCAAATGCCTCCTTTTATAGGCCAAAAATGGGAACTATTGATTTGATGACTAATTGATAAGTGGGTGGCCAACTTTTGACTTGGTGACAATCCTTATCTTCTCTTGTCTGCCCAAAACGTCATTGATAACGTCAAAATTGGAGCCAGTTGTAAACATGAAAGTTGTAGGCAATTGTCTCAGCTTTCTTGTGTAAAAACTTCAGCTCATTTGGACTTCTAGAACTCTAGATATGGCCAAAATACCGAACAGTGCTCGGGCTGGAAGACAGATTCGGGCTTCTTTGTTGTTGCTACAATTTGGACTTGATAATGGCCTTTTTAGATCTTGGGCTCCATATGAAAGTTGTAGGCCTATGTCTTACCTTTCCATCCATATAAATTTGACCTAAATCTGAGATATATAGCTCTAGATATGACCCAATTACCGAACAGTGTTCCGGTTTGGATTGCACCGACATCTCTTTTCTATGTTTGGCCATCTCTTTATCCTTGCAATTTAAGTTCTTCAAGTCATCAATCAATCCTTTCATTTATGTGATAGGCCTGCATTAAAAATAGATATTTACCATAAATTATAGGTATCTTATATTATTAGATACATTATTATAAAACATATTTTAGTTAAGGAGTTATTGATACTTCAAGTGCAAAATGATGATATAAAACCATGATAAAAATGTACTTTTAAGTACTAATCAGTAACCTGGTGAACATTGGTTGCCATTAATGATCTTGATCCTCATTAAGCCCAAATTAATTTCAGAAACTAATTTAGTGATTTATAACAAGCCATTAAGTTGATCAAATCTAATATTCTTTACTAATATTGGTTCATCACCTTTGATAAAGACTTCTTGGCCTTACCATATAAATCTCATCCACATCTTTTCGTAATTGATTTTCAATTTAGCTAACCACTGAATTCCCGGGATCATATCATAATTTTTAAGGTCCAAGGTAAAAGCATCAATCGTATAGTTAACTCTATGAATTGATTATTGGAAGTTGTTGCACACAAAAGCATGGGTTATGATTCCTCCATCAGCTACTTGCATATTTAAAGCTTTAATACTGGTGATTTTACAATGCAACATGTCTACCACTTGGTTGTTGATAAAGTTATTTGTGCTTTCAAAGTCCACAAAGATAAACAATGGTTGTTTCTCTACTCTGCTAATGACTCTAAAAGTTTTTAAGCCAATCACTCATTCTAAGGTATTAAGAAATATGTGTGGGTTGTAGGTGCCATGATCTAATTCAGTTACTTCATCTTCCTTACTACACTCCCTGTTTTCTTCAACAACACACAAGGAATAAAGCTTCTTGTTCTGACACTTATGTCTAGGTATGAATTTTTCATCACACAAAAACAAAGACCCTTAGCTCTTCTTTCATCTAAGTTCCTATTTCTAATAAGTCTAGTGGTTCTATTAGCATTGTTGGGGATATAAAGTGAAGGAGTCAGTAGGATGCTAGTGTGGAGTTCTTTATAACTGTTATTAGGAGGTCTTAGTAAGCTTTTATTATAGCTGAGAGGGGTAGAGGTCTTGTTTTAGTGGGCATATGTGGTTGGATGATAGATCTTGGTTGGATGATAGATCTGTTTTTTAGGATTGAAACTATAACGTCGGTGAGTAAGGGTGTTATCATACAACCTGGTTAAGGTGTAGGCTTGTTTTAAGGATTTTGATTCAAATATCTAAATCAAATTCTTGACCTTTACTTTTAACTCTCCTACAACAACACCAAAACATTTTTCTCAAAAATTTCAAACCTATTCTAGAGATTATCGAAGTCCTTGATATAGGTTTCTACATCATTTTTCTACTTTAATTTAATAAGTTCTTTTAAAGGGTTCCTCTCCCCTCAAACCTACAACACAACGTCTTTATATACTACACAACCTGCCCTTTCAAGCTTCTCATAAAATTTTAATGCTAATACAAAGTCTTTCTATTTAGATAATAGAAGGTCAATTTAAGCTTATCATGGTCAACAATTTCCTTAACATTAAAGTTCTAGTTACATTTATAAATTCATTTAAGGACATTTTCTCCCTCAAAGATAGAGAACTCTTATTTTGGTGTATGGAGTTGATAATAAAAGGGCGTACCTTCACTGACCCAATTGAAATTGGCAAAGAAGTCCCTTGTAGCAAAGTATTGAGGTGCCTTGGGTAAACTAGACTTACCAGTGGAGAGCTGAGTTTTTTGCAATGTTGAGTCTACACGAAAAACAAGGGCATCAATAGCTTGCTTAAGCTCTCTGAAGCATAAATTGGTGTCAGTCCTGGTATCATTGAGTTATTGTTGAATTTGATCACGTGCCTGAGTCTACTCCAAATTGGTAAGTTCATTCACCTTCCTGTCACCTTGAAATCTCGTCTCAGGTGGCATTTTTTAGTTTAAAGATACTGCTCTAATACCATTTTGTGCAATGAACTTGGAGCAATGGGTTGCCTATTTCTAAGATGGCAGATGATAAATGAAATGAAGAGGAATACGATAAAAATGGAAGGGTAGAAGTTGGGTGCTGCAGAGGGACTGAGAAGGAGATAAATGGAAGGAAACAAAGACAAGGTTGAGGAATGGGAATCTCAAAAAATAATGGATATGCTTATCATTAATTCTGCATGCATTCTGTTTAATATTATATAGCAGTCTTTCTATTCTTTAATATTCTAGCATTTTTCTCCTTACACACGTGGCTCTATCAGCTAATAAACAAGTAAAATAAAACGCGCAGCATTGGCTTGTAATTGCAATGCATCTTGTCTTCTTGGTACTCCTAACTTGAATTTTCCCCCCGAGAAACCTACTTATCAGTCCCTTCCTTGCAACACTCTCCTCCCTGGAAAACCCTAAAAAGAATCCAAAAAGAAAATGCAAAAATGCAAATCACAGAGGAGCAAAGACAGAGAGCTGAAGCCAACAGATTAGCAGCCTTAGAAAAGAGAAAAGCATACATCATCAATCAGCAGCAGCAGCCGCCGCCGCAAAACCCATGGAGACTTTTCAAGTGCCGAAAGCTCTCTCCCAAACCGTCCTCCAGTAAAACCACCACAAACCCGCCCCTTTTTAACCGTGTCAACCCGGATTTAGATACCCATTTGCCCCAAACTTTCCGGGTCCGCCTCGAAATTTGCTCGCCTGACTCTTTCTCTATCACCCCAGAGGCTGTGAAGGGGTTCCCCTATCCTGGGGAAGAAAAATGTTTAAATACTTTAAAGTCTCGCTTATCCAATGTAAATGAGTTTTCATTCTTTTTTTTTTTAAATCATAAAAAAATAAAGATTAAATTTTAATTGAGTTTAATTATTGTTCTAGACATTGTAATAAAAATACGATCTGAATTTAGTTTAATTGTTGTTTTAGACATTATAGTAAATGTATGATCTTGAATATAAAATTATGTTTTTATCATCATCATCATCATCTCCAGCTTAATATTTACTGTAATCTGGTTATGTGTGTAGGCAATGGAATCTCGTTATACACAAATTAATGGAGGTGGAAGGGCCTGTGTGTATAATATCAGAGACTATGATGTAGTTTTGACGTGTTTAAAGAATTGCAAGGGAATCGAAATCGAAAAGATCCCTTTCACCACACTTAATATTATCCAAAGACTTTCAAAGTCTTTCGATGCTAGTCGATGGGAACCCTGCAGGCCTGAACATTTCACTGATGAAAAGGTGGATGAATTCATTCGGATGCTGCCGAGAAAGCTCTTGGATGCACTCTTACCTTTCCAGCTTGATGGCTTAAGATTTGGTTTGAGAAGGGGTGGTCGGTGTCTTATTGCGGATGAAATGGGCCTTGGTAAAACACTTCAGGTAATCATTTTCTATGCAATTATCTCAGCAGTTCCTAACTTAAGATATATTTTTGTGTGGTTTTGGTTATTCAAGACTTCAATATTGGAATTATGTATAATCCCAGTGTAAATGCTCATTGGTGTCACATTTTGGCATCTTTTTGATTGAAACTGACTCTATCTAGGCTCTTTAGGAAATTTTAATGCATAATGTATGCCAGATGCTTCTTTTTAGAGTGATGAATGATGTGTGTGAAATCAAGAAGGCCTATTAATCAATATCTGTACATCGAAGATAGTTTGTGCCTCAAATACATTCTAGAAATGATCTTATAGTATATATCTGCTTAATATATTCTATTTGGTTTCAGGCAATTGCTATTGCTGGCTGTTTCATAAATGAAGGCCCCATCCTTGTTGTTTGCCCAGCTATTTTGAGGTTTTCTTGGGCAGAAGAGTTAGAGCGATGGATGCCCTTTTGTTTACCCTCTGAGATCCACCTTGGTTAGAGTTTCTCACTTTGTGCTATGGCTTCCTTTCAATTTTTCATTGTTGCCAAGAGTTGGCCAAAAAATAAGATGTGAAATCTTCTTTAGTTTTTAAACTATACATGTGTGTACGTGTGTGTGTCTATGTAGACTTGGTGAATTCTTATAGGATACATTTATTGTCAAAAAAGGTTTCTCGTCTTTGCCCTGTTTTTTCCGTTGGTTGTTGATCAGCTGTATCTGTTGTTATACTGCGAGAGTTTAAGCTGTCTTGAATGAATCTATTCCTGTTTCCTTATTGTTCTCTTAAACATGAGGTAGAACTTGAATTGTATTCATCTATCTGTATATATGTAGGCTATAGCTACATAATGAGGTTTTCTGTTTCTCTTTTCAATTGGAAATAATGAAGACAGGTGTTCATACAAATACAAGTGCAAATTAGACTGCATGCACTCTCAAATATTTATAGATTGCAAATGAATATTCTCTTTGATGGAGGTCTTTTTTTGAGTTATTGCTCATGTTTATAGTTGTGTAGGTTAGAGTTAATATATCATCAAGGCTTCAGCTTCTCACAAACCTTTAAACTTTGAATTTTATCTTTACTGTAGATTGGAGCATTTAAAAAAATCATCCAGGCAACATCTTGTTCTCTGGTTTCTTTGAGATTTTTGAAGTATGAATTTCACATCTTTTTGTTGTATCATGAATTCATTGTTGTCCATGTGACTTAATTTTTTAATCCAGTTTTTGGTCATCGCAATAATCCCATGCATCTAACAAGATGCCCAAAAGTTGTGGTTATCTCTTACACAATGCTTCATCACTTGCGGAAGACCATGCTTGAGCAAGAATGGGCTCTCTTGATAGTGGATGAATCTCACCATGTTCGTTGTTCAAAAAATAAGTCAGAGCCAAATGAGGTACAGATTCTTATTTATTTATGGTCAGAGTGAATCTTTGTTTGTGGTCGTTGTTTCTCTATGTCCCATAAATGTGTGCACTTCCCAAGAACTAGTTTGGAATACATACTATTAGAATTAATGTTGCTGAGTGGGCACTGTACTTGGCATAGACTAATTGGCATTTAGACATCTATGTTATCCTTTCTGTTAACAGATAAAAGCAGTTCTAGATGTGGCAGAAAAGGTCAAGCGCATAGTTCTTCTGTCTGGGACACCTTCTCTGTCCAGGTTGTATCATGCACATTGGAAGCAAAATGGAATAGTTGTATTCCTATCCAATACTCCTTTTGGATTAAATTAATTTTAATAACATGTTTTAATTGAATAATGTTACTGAATTCATTTTTTTAATTATGCCACTGTCTTCCTTAGTGCTTTCTCATATGCTATTGTGTATATTCCTAGGTGATCATAGGCCATTTGACATTTTTCATCAGATAAACATGTTATGGTAATTTCACATCTCCATATTTTACACTTTTACTTTGCTTTCCTCAAGTTTTAACTAGGGTAGATAATGTTTCTTGACAATGCTTGCTCTTATACAGGCCTGGTTTGCTGGGGCAGAACAAGTATGATTTTGCGAAAACTTACTGTGCTGTCAGAGTTGTCCACACTTATGAAGGAAAAAGTTTTCAGGTAATTCTTGGAGTGCTATCGAAAAGCACTACAACAGAGAAACTAACGCCATTATCATTTGCATAAGATTCTAATAATACTGCCAATTTTCCATATAATTGATGATGGATGGCAGGAATGGAAACTTACAAGAGAAAGAAAGGGGGGTAAGGTGCATAAGATGATTTCCATATGCATAAGATGCTAATAATACTGCCATGTGCATAAGGGGTAAGGTGCTATCAAAAAGCACTACATCAGAGAAACTAACGCCTTTATCATGTGCATAAGATTCTAATAATACTGCCAATTTTCCATATAATTGATGATGGATGACGGGAATGGAAACTTACAAGAGAAAGAAAGAGGTGTAAGGTGCATAAGATGCTAATAATACTGCCATGTGCATATGGGGTAAGGTGCTATCAAAAAGCACTACAATAGAGAAACTAACTTTATTGCCATGTGCATAAGATGCTAATAATACTGCCAATTTGCCATATGATTGATGATAGAGGACATGAATGGAAACTTAGAAGAGAAAGAAAGGGGTAAGGTAAAGGCTAGAATAATAGTCATCTTCGGCAGAAAAGATTCCCAACACTCAGAAATCAATTCTCAATCGTTAAACCATAACAATTAGGAGGAATCAACCTCTAACTGTCAATTATTAATCATCAATGGCAATCTGAGTTTAGGAAGCTGAAGACAACAATTTTGCAGACACAAAAACCAAAAACCAAATTGGGATAGGAATTCCTAAATTGAAAAGAAATTCAACTACAACTAAGATACGAAATTAAATAAGCTCCTAACTTGAGCTACCTTAATAGGAAGTAAACTCAAGTTACTTGATTATAAGATACTTAGGAACTAATAAAATTTCTACAAAAATGAAGTTTTTTTTTTCATTCTCCATCTGTTTGGTTTGATTAAAAAGACTCATTGCACCAGGCCACTAGTGACTCAACTATCAAATTTGATTGGATTTCCTTGCAGGATTTCTCGAAGGGCATTCGTTTGGAGGAACTGAATGTGTTGCTTAGGCAAACTGTTATGGTATGCTTTTGCTTTCATGTGCCTAATGCTTCAGAGACTATTACAATAAGTCATTATACGAGTTGCTTCTAAATCAGTTTGACAGTCCAAGCATCAAACTAAGTGCAGGGCCACGAATCCTCACATTATTATATTTGGAAAGATCATCAGTGTGGTCTGTGTGGAAAATTTCCTAATTTTTTCTGTCCTTTTTTAGCACTATCCCAATCTTTATTCTAAGTGCTATTAGTTACTCCATGAACATTGATATATTCTGGGTTGTGGTATTTGTTGTATGACGTAGAATGCACATAGATCAATGTTGTTATAGTTGGATGAGGCATGTTTGGTACATTAGTTTTGATCGCAGTATGTTTTCTAGCATGTATTTGGTTGAAACTAAATATTGAATCTGCTTTAGGCAAGTGGTAGACATATCTGTGATTCTCTTAATCATAATTTTTAAAGGTATTAAGCAAAATGTTTAAGTTGTCATAAAGTAAAAACAATTTTCCATTATAACTAAAGGCAACATTACAGTTGACTGAAGGTACTGATCTTGACACCTCAAAGTAGAAAATATTGGTAGATAAAACAAGGACACAAAAATACATGGGAAGCTGCCCTCACTTTTCCTTGCGTGTTTTTCTTTCAAGTCTTGATCAACGTGAGGACATATTGCACATTTCCACCTATCTTTGGGATATCAAGAGAAACAAACTCACGGAAAAGGCTTACATCTCACTAGTTATTTCCTACTTTTCATCACTTCACATTATTTTTCCATTGAAAATTTGGACTATCTAGATTATGCACAATTATGTTCCAAGACATGCATGTCCTGTGCATGACTACATGAACTGGATAACAATTCTATTGGGGGGGCACTTACTAGTATTTATGTATTATCTCTGTCCCCTTGCAAGGAGGGTTCTAACAACATAAAAGTGGTTCCAGTTTTTGGAAGGGAGGCACTAATGAAGAGAAGTGTACTCTCCATTTTATGACTGATTTGAGGAAAAGGAAAGAAAAAAGATAATTCAGGATGCTGGTGTTGTAATTTAACATCACTGAATGAAACATATGACAAGTAATGGTTTAAACATAGAATATTGGAAACTAATCAGGGTGAGGGACCTGAGAATGAGATTGGGAATATACCAATCACCTTCACTAATACGATCTTTCAATTACTTGTTTGTCCTTTTTTTTCCCTACGTGTGAGCATAAGCTATTAAGTGGTCCTATTGGCGAGAGAGTCCTCAATTTGAGCATCAGTGGATCTCATCTTTGTGGATTATTTTGGCAATTTGTTTGTTTCTCCATGTGTAGTCAAATTTTTATTTAATAATTTACAGGTAATTCCTTATTGTTTCTTTTGAGAAACCACTTGAGTTCTAGACATGTTGCTATTGTAGATACGACGTTTGAAGGAGCATGTACTGAAACAATTACCCCCAAAACGTCGGCAAATAATAAGACTGCTGTTGAAAAGATCAGATATAATTTCAGCAAAGGCTGCGTGTAGGGGGTTGGTGAATCATGATGCCTCTGAAAGAAATGCTGCTGAAGTGCTAAATTCAGAGAACATAGATAGATCTGATGGTAATTTATCATATCTTGTATCTATTAATCAAATCCTACATGTCTTTCTTCCAGGATTGGCTTTGTATACTCACCACTCGACAGTATTGTGTTTTGTTTTCTAGATTGATATATTGTTTTGTTCTGTTTTTATTTATTTTTCAAATTAAAGCGATTCATCAGGAGGTTCTATTTGTTGATCACCTGCACCAGTAGAATAACAAAATCTCTTTATCTACGTCCAAATTACTCCATCAAGGCTTTGGTTTGTGACTTCCTTTTAACATAGATGCTTCATGGTTACTAATTTGGCAATGACCTATTTTTACTATCTCATGGTTACTAATTTATTGGTTGTGAAATACATGATATTAGTTGCATTAGTTGCAGAGTGATATTAGTTGCAGAGCAAGTTAAGGGATGTATTAAATTGGGGTAGATATTCAATGTTTGATTTTCAGTTGACTAATGTAGAATAGCTATTCCTCTTTGTAAAATGGAACAAAGATTTAGTTTACTGGTTCATTTTTTGTTTTCCCAAAAAAAAAAAAAATATTGGTGCCAATGTGGTCTGTTCTGTTCAGACTTGGGTTTACCCTCCCTTTCCAGTGTGGTATACTGGGATTAGGGTCACTAGTAAATGAGAAGTCTAAATAAAGCAAGTGAACTGGTGCAAAATGCTGATTTGACACATATGTTGGGAGTTCTTAATGCTGCTCTCAAAGGGTTTTGATGTATTTGGTTGAAGATTTCTTACTCAAATTTATATATTTTCAAATGCAAATTTATAATTTTTTATCCTGTTCCATTTTCTTTTTCTTTCAGAAAGTGGGGGTTGTTGCAGATCCAAGAAACTCTCCTACCAAGAGCTTGGCATTGCAAAATTGTCTGGGTTTTGTGAATGGCTTTCCATTCATCCTCTCATTTCAGAGTCAGATGGTGTAGCAAAATTGGATGTAAACCATAGTTCTCAGAAAATGATAATTTTTGCTCATCACCTAAAAGTTCTTGATGGAGTTCAGGTCAGATGCTTTTACGAGTTCTCCTTTCTTTTTGCTAGATTGAAAACATCTTCATAAAAAATGGTTTGTGACTGAATGTGGTTTAAGATGTCAATCACTCGAGGGAATTCATACTGGTACCTGGAAACTAAGTCCTGGTTACTTCATTTATTTTATCTCCTAGGAGTGTCTACTTTGCAGAAGGCACAAGAAATTTCCCATTTAATGAAAATAAAAATAAAAATAAAAATCCACCTCCCCTTGAACTTCACTCATACTTTATTTCCACCTTCTCTTAAACATTTTGTAGTGGTTAGCTCAATCCCACCATTCCAATTGTTCACATGTAGATTAGTCGAGCATAAAATCTTGGTTTGTTAAATTCCTAAACTCTGAAAAGTTCATGAGGGACATGTTATGTTCTGAAAAAGTTGCATTTTTTTTACTTTTAATAACACTTTCTTATTCAAATCCAGATGCTAAAATTGCAAGCGTACACACTTTGGATGATCTTCCAATATGAATTCATAATGGAAAAAATAAAATAATAAATAAACATGAAATCAAGTGATACTACTTAACCCACTAAGATTATATTAACCCTGCTTGGCTTGAGAAGACAAACGATTTAATCCACCCATACCTAGTATTTTCTAAAACTAAAAGTGTGTAAAAAGTTATGTTTGGTTTCAATTCTATGACACATAAGAATATGTTAGAAGAAAGATGAGACTTAAATTTGACACACATTTATAATTTATTGAATGCTTATGATTTTGATTGATAACACTTTGCTCAATGTTCATAATTTCTGATTGTTTATGATATGGCGTCAATTTACTTTCCCCTGTCCTTTCTGAATGTTTTGTCCATCTTGGCCTTTGAATGGCCTTAAAGTTGATCACTGTACTCTGTTGATGTTTTGCTGTGATTCATGTAAGTTTCACAGTAACAATTTTTATGTTGAATTATTCAGGAATTTGTACACGAGAAAGGGGTTGGTTTTGTCCGCATTGATGGAAACACTCTTGCCAGTGATAGGCAAAACGCTGTATTGTCATTTCAATCATCAAATAAGGCATGTTCATGTTCTGTTGCTTTAGCTTTGTGTATTTGCTTGTCACAATATGGCATTCTACTAATTCTTTTGCTAGAGATCTTGGTTTCAATTCTTGCTGGGTTTCATCACTTTGATTAAATTGCATTTCTTCTAAAGTAAGGTTTAAATTTATACTCATGACTTGGTGGGATTTCAGGGTGATGCAGGACAGCCCAGGGCTGTTCTGAATCTGACTTTTATTGACTGTTTTAGGGCTGTTAGAATTGTATTAATGTTGATTTGTGATGGAATATGAGGAAAGGATGTAGATAGGTTCTAGGAGTCACACCTAGGGCTCTTAAGAGTCACACCTTAGAGGAGATTGAGTATTACAATCAAAGAAAAATTGCTGTAAATTATTTGACATTAATCCATTGAAAAATATTGAAAGACTACATACTTATTTATGGAGTTTTAGTTCCAATAAGGACATGGATTCCTAAACCCACAACATAACCATTCCACTTTAGAATAGGAAAACATAATAATCTAGAATAGAAAACCTATTAACTTTAGGACTAATACAATAAAATACTAAACAGAAATATACACTATAATTTCCAGATTTTTCGGCTGATATGAAAATTACTAAAACACCCTTGTATTCTATAGTTGAAATAGAATACATAAATCCTATCTTTTGTTGCCCACGTCACAGGGGAGTTATTTTCCTGATCACACACACACACACATATATATATATGGATGGTTTGTGTAGCAATTGTTGTTATGATGCAATCTTGGTCTAATTTCTAATTGTTCAATTCCCCTTGTCTGTCTGCCATATATTAATATAAATCTTTTTTGAGCTGAATAAAGTTATTAAAGGTAGATGGTGCCAGACTTTTCTACACTACTTTTCCATTTTCCTTTTCACATGAATTTCTATACTTTTCTTCTAAGTTTTGAACATGTTAAGGGCAAAAAGCCGTGCTGTTGTTCTGTGATTATAATGTTCTATTCCTTTTCCCGCAGAGGTCATCATGTACAAATGCATATATGTGGCATTGTGAATTTTTGAACTCTGAAGATGCAGCCAACCTGATATGTGTCTTTGTTTTCCAGGTTAAGATTGCAATAATCGGTATAACTGCTGGGGGTGTCGGACTTGATTTCTCCTCGGCACAAAATGTTGTCTTCTTGGAGCTGCCTCAGTCTCCATCATTAATGCTTCAGGTATGACAGATTATTGTCCATTAGTTTTGCACTTCAGTTGTAAATTAAAATAGAAGGTTAGTGACAAGGTTCTATAATGGTAAATCTTCGTACCTACAAGAAAGATGCTACAATATATTATGTTGGCCGTATAAATTGTATGGCTAAGAAGGATAATGAAGTTTGGAACCTGGTTTGTGGCTTTACAATGTTTCTTGAAATTGTTCGATATCTATTTGCTTCTTTTCACTCCATTTCTTTTCTCTTTATTTTCACTATTCTCTTGACCTGAGAGCTGACTGAACATGTTTGAGAAATCACTTGATACTTTTGCCATTCAATGGAATACCATGGCAGCTTTGGAATTTATGACGCATGCATGAATATTGATTTACTATTACCATTCATTAAGGTATACAAGGCCACACATATTCAAAATTGTATATTTAGCTATTCAGACTCTAAATTGATATGGAAAAATGGAGAGACAAGAAATGACAGTATTGGAATTTTTGTTACAAAGAGTTTGAAATTTGCAACAGTTTGAAATGGTAATGCTCTCGATGTGCAGCATGATTTGACAAATTCATGAGTTGATACTAAACTATTTGTTTACCTTGGCATTGTGCTGTTTTGCTTTTCTGATGGCACAGTTGTCTTATTAATGTGTTCACTGTTTTCTTTAATAATAAAGGGCAATAAATTTGTGTTTGATGAATTTTGAAAAAATATTTTAAATACAGTGTTATGCAGTTTCTTACTATCAGGAGCTAACTGAGACTGATAGAAGTGTGATTTATAACTTTAAATTTATATTTTGAATTAAAGCATAATGGAGTGAGAAAATGAACTATGCCCAATCCACTTCCCCGAACAAAAAAGGAAAACGAAAAGCTTGAAAACCAAATATACGAGTATAATCAAAAGCTTTCTGTTACTCATTATTGTCAAATCTAATAAGAATCTCCGTATGAGCAAAACCTCTATGCTCTCAATTCAATTAAACCTGAAAAGGGCATATTCCTTTTGTACACTTATTTAGGTTCTAATTTAGCCACAAGGGTGACTTTTCAAGACTTTTTTTTTAAGAAAAATATGCTTTGGTACAAATCTCCTCAACATGTCTCAAGTATCCTGTTCATACCCAGTTGTCCTGAGAAATTTTCTGTTCTCTGCAGCAAAAAATAAAAATTATATCAGAATTCAGGTTCATTTGAAATTTTTATTGGTCAGAAACTAATCTGTAGATTAGTACTACATGCATTTCTTACCCTCCTTGTGGTGGTTTATATTTCTTAATTTTCTTGATAAAATTTCTTTGATCAGTGTAATTATTAATTATTTTTAAGAGGACAATGCATCTGCACAACCAAACATGCTCCATGTTTCCTTTGCTCTTCTTTCTAGTTGCTATTTCTGAGGTTTTCCCTGGATTAGTCTTGTGACTTTCGATACCTGACCTCCTCCAAACTCATTTTGGAAGGCTGAGGACAGAGCTCACAGGCGAGGGCAATCAAATGCAGTTAACATTTACATCTTCTGTGCTAAGGTTTGCATTTTTTAAAAAAAAAAAAAAAAGTGCTTTAGGTTGTCAAGACATTTATCTCTTTTGTATGCATGAAAAAATTTGTCATATTGCAGGACACCATGGACGAAACATGTTGGCAAAATTTAAACAAGAGTTTGCATCGTGTCTCGTCTATTACGGATGGAAAATATGATGCAGTTCCAGAAATTTTGGTATCACTTCTTACCTTTTTCTCCACTCTAATCCTAGCACTCTAAATTCATCCAGACGAGCTCAATTTCTACTAATTGCTATCATCATGGATTTGGGTCATTGGTCTGAATTATTTATGCTAAACCTTTATTAATATACTTCTTGCTGTAAATCTTATCCGAACTTGGATTTTTCCCAGTGATTGGAAATGTGTTGTCATGCTGCAATTTATAAGAAGCTCTGGAGTTATTATTTTGCTAGAGCAGATTGGGTGAATCATAGTCCTGATACTTGCAAAGCAAATCAAATATATCTTATGCAAATTAGTTAATTGGGGATTTATATGAGTATATTTAGTTTCATTGGTTGTGTAAATTTTTAAAAATGAATTCAAAACAAACTTTGAATTGGTAGTCATACATTTGCTAAATCACCCACATCAGTGAAATCCATCATCAACATCCCATTCTTTCTGGGTTCCAAAGTCAGAACTGTTGGTGTTTTATTTTTCTCCCCTGCTTTGTCTTGGGAGTCTTGGGTATCTTTTGCTCTGGTTGACCAGGGCTAACTTTGTTGCCGTGTTTCATGATCTTGAATAGACAGTATTGCTTCTGTTCTGTATCAGATCGCTAGACATGATGACATGTTCAGTGGAATTTTAGGAGATGGTATTTATTTTAGTCTTTTATTTTATTATTTATTAAGTAGGTTTTTCGTTAGTCATTTTCTGTAGGAGATTGAACTTCATTAATCTATCTTGTCAGGTTGAAAGAATTTCTTATTTTGGAAAATCTGACAAAGGGATTAGGAGAGGTTCTGAAGTTCAAGTTAAGTTGCCAGACTCTGGCTCAGTGTGGGATTCACAGCCATTCAAAACAGATGATGAAGAGAATGTAATGTTGATTGGAAGCACATTTCAAACAGATGATCTTAATCCTGGGGTATAACTTAGAAATTAGAAATTTTCTTGTTTTTTGAATGAGTTTTAAATCTTCTAGCATCTCTTCTTGTATGTTCATTTATATTTTCTCTTTCCATGGGCTAAATCTTGAATTTTGTTGGAAGAACAGGCTGTTATGGTCTTGGATAATGTAACAGACAAGGATTCTGTAGCCAATAAAAACCTAGAAGGGATTTCAGAAATTGAGATTAGAAGTTCTAGCAGAGTTTCTTCTTCTGAGTCATCAGAGGGACATGAAGGCAATGATCAATCAGAGAAGGTACCTATTGCATAAGACTTGGTCTTCTCAGAAATAGGTTACTATGTCTCTGTTCCTTTTAGTTTATGTAAAGGAAATCACTTATAAATTAATTGCAGGAAAATAAACTTTGTGTCCAAACAACAGAAACCAATGACAGTGAACTTGCTCAGCAAAATGAAGCTGATGAATGCTGGTCTAATGAAGTATATTCTCTACGCTTTGAGGTACAATTATGAACTTGGTCATTGAGATTTCCTTGCTTGTTTTTTCACTCTAATGCTGTGGCATCAATCTGATTTTCAGCAATTGCAATTGCAGCCATTTATAATTTAATATCGGAGTTCAAAAGCTGCCTGATTAGTTATGGGCTGTCCTTGTTTTCGCATGAAATATGGTTTACTTACAAGCATCCTTTCAGGAAGATACATAACCCCTCTTGGAAAACGAATTTAAATAATTGACTTCTTGTTCAGGTAAGTAAATATACTGGAAGGATTCACCTATATTCCTGCATTCTGGGGAAAGACTCAAGACCACAGCCACTTTATGAGAATTTCCAACCAGAAGAACTCGAGTCACTTAATTTACTAGCAGCTAATGATAGCAAGGAAACAGACTTTAAATTTCTCAAGGGAAATCCAGTTTCCAGGCATGCTCTTCTTTCATTTATTAAAGAGTGGAATGCACTAAGGCCTATTGAAAGAAGGAAATTACGTGGAAAGACTTTGCAACTTCCTCTACGTGTTGAGTTGTGCTACTTAAATGAAAGCACTAACCACAAAATTGGGGTATGCTTACGATTCTGATTCATCTGCCCCCCTCTCCCAACAATGAATTGCAGTTTGGGTAACGGTTATGCAACTCTGTAATAGGGACTGCTGAAGGGTGGAAGCAAGCGACGCCTTACTCCATTGGGTGAGATCAGCCATCCTTTACCATCCAATGCCATTTTGAAAAAGGTACATCTGTCAAGTAGCTATGGCCAAAAGGAAAAGCAATACACTCAGGGCTGGACCTTGATGGATGAGCCACTCTGTAAACTCTGTCAAATGCCATGCAAGTAAGTCCAGATTTATCATCTTTTGATGTTCCTATTTGTTGGAATTTTATTTATATTCTTTTTTAATGGGTTGAGTATTATTCTTGTTCTTTTTTCCCCCCTCTCTTTTAACCTTTGGTGCATCTTTTGTATTCTTTGTAGGTTGCAGCTTGCACCCCTTTCTTTTGTCTCTTTTTATTGTATTTATTGGAATAATATTAATTAACTGTCACTTTCAGGGGCAGCAATGCAAAAACACCTGTGTATTTTGAGGATTTATTCTGCAATCTCATCTGCTGTGAAGAATATCGCTTAAGAACTAGTAGCAGATCCCTCCGGCAGGTAAGGACTGGCATTAAAATTAATTAAAATCAAACTGATAGGCTTTTTTTTCCTGCTCTCATTATTCTATCTTTGTTTATTCATTTTGGTGTGAGAACATGTATCTCAGTTTTATTGTTCGTGATATGGATTGCACCATTCATAATGGAGATTTGATTGCCTTCTATTATCCTGTTCCTTGTTACTCACTCTAGCACAATAATTCTTTCAGTTAACATAATTTAGATTTCCAGGAACTTTTTGAAATAGAACATGGTGTCTGCACAATTTGCCTGTTAGACTGTCATAAACTTGTGAGGACCATCAAACCTTTATCATTAGAGAGACGACGGGAGTATATTGAGGAAGTAGCGCCAAATGTGGCAAGTCAGAAGAAATTGTAAGTTAAAAAACCGAACCTAGTGTTTCTTATTTCTGTTAAATGTATTTGGAGATATTCAACTGATGTTTACTATTTTGCTCACTCCTTCCCAATTTAAGTGTCTAATTCTGAACTTCCAACTTTCTGAGGTGGCATTGCATTATATTATTTATGTAGTTAGGTTGCATTCAATTTTCATCATTGCCCTTTGACTAGCTTTATCATTTAAATTTAAAGTGCAAATAATAGCCTCAACTTGAAATTTTATTGGGTAAAGTGGGAGATTAAAAAATTCCTACATTAATAGTACAAAATGGAAAGTTATTTTGGGACATACCAAAATGTAAAGGTGGATACACAGATAAGAACAGGAGGAGTGGTTTGCTGCCTCTTTGTTGGGAGTTTCTGTTTTGATTAAAGGTTCATGGACACTCTATGTTATGCTTTACAAATTGTAGGCATTATTGCTAAATGATAAAAGCTCATGTGCAAGGGAAACTCGAATTTTAAATTGAAAGATTGAAATCTGAACCTGTGCTATGCAAGATTGATCAAGTGATTTTAATGTATTGTATTTGTGCTTTAAAATCAAGTGATCAAGTGCTATGCAAGATTGACCATGACATTTTTTCATTGCAAAATAGTAGTTTTATTATTTTGTTGTTTCTTTTATTGTATTGTATTTGTGCTTTAAAATCGTAAACACTTCTCTGAAACCAAGTGATTTTAATGTTTCACATCTGCAGGCTTGATAAGCTTGCCAATGATCCATCTGAGGGCAATGCATGGCATGCAGACCATATTGTTCCTGTTTACCGTGGTGGAGGTATGCCAATGTTGAAGATCTTTTGAAATGACCTTTTATAATACAACACATATGTCACGTGGTTATCTCAGTGTGTCAACCAGGACCTTGATGAGTCAGCTGCTGATCAATGCTGGATTTTAATCTGTCACGGTATCATTGGACTCTAGCAGAACTTGCTGCTATCATCATGAGTCATTATTCAATAGAACTTAATTGATAACAATCATTAGGGGAGTTAAGGAATGAAAAATACAAAGAATATAAAGAATGGAAAACTCTGCAGTTTCAGATGTGCAGAACATGTCAGCTATTGAGATCCTGAAAGGGGTTTTTATCATTTTGTTCACAAGGAAAAAAAGGAAGCTGGTTTTATTTTTTTTACTGCAAAAAATTAGTTAGGCCCAGCTGTGATTCATGTCAGGAGTTGAAAATCAAATTATTATCCACTCAAAAGAGCTCATTATTAACCATGTGGATCTTATTTAGTCTAGACTAGAAATTCCTCCCAATCTTTTCACTGTTCAATCTTGTTTTGAAGTATGCTTTGTATAATTTGCATAGGTGAATGCAAACTAGAGAATATGAGGACTCTTTGTGTGGCTTGCCATTCCAATGTTACTGCAGTTCAACGTGCTGAACGATGCTCAGCTAGGGAAAAGGCTAGGAAGCAACTTGAAGTCATCATGAATGACATCAAATGTATGGAAGAGACTTCGACTTATGTGAAGGTAAATTTAGAGTGCTTGGGACTCTTTTTTATATCATGATAGCGCTGAGGTTGTCAAATACTGAATCTCACTTCCACGTCATTTAAGATACGGTAATAATATGGTTGAATAATCCGTTGTTACAAAACTGCAAAGATCTTTTCACATTTTGGTTTTTTTCTGCTTTATTTTTTAAAAATTAGAAAATATATTTAGTGATTATGGGGTGGTATACTAGGGAAAGCAGGAAAAAGTATCTAATGACATCGGAAATGGGCTGACATTTTTACCCACGTTGAGGAAGGTAGAGTTCTAACAATTTAATGTCTTTCCTCATTTACCTTCCCTAATCCGTACTGTCAGTAATCTTGTGAACACTGTTGAAGGTGAAATTGTTGAACTTAATCAAGAATATTTCACTGGCTCATCAAGAACTTATAAACTGAAGTTTATTTATATCATAAATGCGTGTTCCCTCCTACGAGTCATAATGTCCTCATTGTGACTTTGCTTTCTTTTCCCGTTTCTCTAGACCTGCTTGGCCCTCGTATATACCATAACTCTTCCAATATTCACAGTGCTATGCTCCTTTTACTGTAGTTTTCTTCTGGTCATTATCCTTCAGTGCTTCCTATTCTATTATTCGGTTTACTTGCTGTGATGCTTTTTCATTTTTCCTCGTATTTCCTGCAGACCTCTTGATAAAAATATATTTACTTGTGCTAATACAGACAGATCTGCACTAATAAATTTCAGGGCCAAGGGCATCCTCAAATGCAAGAGGAGGATTTAGTTGATGACCTCTTAGTCAAGGTTCCTGGAAGTGCCTACTCTAGAGGACAAAGCACAGATCCTGAAAGTGAAGATATGAAGAAGAGCTCTTAGAAATCTAATGAAGCATCTGTCTTGACAAAATGACCAGTCGTAGAGGGAAGACCGGAAGAAGCTGGCTCCGTGGTGCTATATATTTTTTAATAAAGTTCTTGGGAAGGTCTTGAAACCGTGTTTGGACATGTTTTTAAAGTGTTCAGTTTAAAAAAAATATTAAATTGATAATTTTTTTAATGATTTTGATATGTTGATGTGAAAAAAAAATATTTTAATATATTTTTAAGTAAAAAGAATTATAAAATCAAACATAAATTAATTATTTAAATCAGTTTCTGATTTCACATAGTTAATTCCATGTAATTTATTATCTTTTGTTATAAAATTTGAAATCTTAATGAATATGATGGAAAGATCCCTTAGTTATTCAATGTTTCCTCTCAAACAACATTATCTTTTTCTAATGATTCAACATGTCTTTATGTAAATTAAGTTATTTGAAGATTTATCAAGTTTGGATTTTTTAATCTAAAATTATACTAATCATGGTATATGTCTATATTTTTTGGTATTTAATCTTGAAAGCTGCAAATTATAAATGATTATATAATCTTATTATGATTCAATAGATCAAACAATAATTAGTAAGACAATTATAAGTAATAAAATCAAGGAAAAATAACAAATATGAAAAAAATGAAATAAAATAAATTTAAATTTAAATTGTGTAATTAAAATTAGATTACATCAATTCTCAAGAAAAAATAAAATTTAGTTCATAATAATTTTGAAATAAACCATGTTCTTATTAAAATACATAAAATAAAACATTGAGGAGGAGAATAATTTATTTTTTTGCTTGGAATCAGTTGAAAAAACACTTTACTCCAACTTGTTTCTGTTTGCAATATGCTGCTTCTTCTTGTTGTCTCCTCTTTTTAATGGTAAAAAAACCTTCTTTATCAATTCTGGTCATGGTCTTTTTTTTTTACCTTCTCTAGTTCTTTGATCCAAAATCTTTTATTTATTTATATATTTTCTTTTGAAAATTGATAGATTTTTAACTTCTAGTTTCCAACTCTATTTTCTTTTTCATATCAATTTATTTTAAGAAAGTCATAAACATAAAAGTTAAAGTTATAGATATCTCCATAGCTTTCTTTTGACACCAAGATCACTTAATTTAGATCTCTATATAGAAAGTTATTGTTATAATCTATTTTGGATCCCCGAGCAAAAAAGGAAGAAAATAAAAGAGAAAAAATAAAAAATAATAATAGTGAAAAAAGGATGTCAAAACGTCCAGAAGATAACTAAAAATTGGTTGAGGAGGTTCAAAAATACAAGTATTGAAATTTAACAATATATCATTGATTGTTGAGAGTCCGACTGACAAAGAAAATTTAATTTGAGAAAGAAATGTCCAAAATCAGATGTTTATTGGACTCAATTAAATTTATTAAAAGTTTAATTGTGTTTATGAAGAGTTTGATTGAAATAAAGTTCGATTTTTGAAGTCAATTTGAGCTTTAATTAGAAAAAATAAAAGTTTTTGGGTTAAATTATAATTTTTGAAAGTTAATTGAGTCAAATCAGGGGCTTAATTGCATAAATATTGAAGTTTGATAGCCAATTAGGGACTTAATTGAAGAAAACCAAAACCAAAGACTAAAATAAAAGGCACACGTAAATAAAAGGGCTGCAATTAAACCGAATCAGGGGCCATAGTAAAGAAATTAGAAGTTTATTGATCAACTAAGGGTCAAATTGCATAAATTCAAGACCAAGGACTAATGTGAAAAAAGCAGCCAACTTCAAGGCTAGGAATTGAATTTGGTAGAAAGGCAATTGAATTGATTTTTACAATCAAAATTGGGAATTGAATTTGGTAGAAAGGCAATTGTAATTGAGGACTCGATTGAAAAAATCACAAATTGAAAATTGATGTGAACTCTAACTTGTTTTTGCCGCTTTTTCCTTTTAAATGAAACGACATGTTTTGTCCAAAACGGCGTTGTTTTAAACACTGTTTATTAAAGAAAAAAAAAGGAAAGAAAAAAGCCCAAAATGTTGCCATTTTGAACGGCATTATAACCTTTCTTCTTCCCCTGGATGCGCGAAGTAGGCGAAGAAGAAGATTTTTCTTCCTCTATTTTCCACCGCTTTTTCCCTTAAAAAAGATGTCGATTCCCCATCAAAAAGACACCAACACCACTTGCCACTTGTTGAAATTCAAAAAGGATGTACCCATTTGGGCGATCATGGGGGGGTTGCATAGTGGCCACTCCAGCCACCCTCCCCATTAGGAAGGGGTAATAGGTGGTCTTCCCTTACCTATAAATATAGAAAGGGGCAATAAATATTTGGGTCCTTGAAAAAAAAAAGATGAGAAGCATAGGACAGAAGAAGTAGCCCCACCAGGTCCAGCTGCCATCTCCACCACTATAGACGACAACAAGCACGCCCCTTCACGCTAGGTAATCTTCCCTCTTTCTTTGCACCGTCATTTCTTTTCTTTTATTTTGCATGCAGAATGTGAGCAATTCATGTTCTGCAACAAAATAAAAATAATTGGCTAGTTACTATGCTGTGCACAATAACCAGCCAATTATACTATTTTGCATCGGTGCTGGCCCATTCCAATTAAAGACATCGTAAAAAAATAAATCCGTATTAAAATACTCAATTTTCATCAAAACTTCCAAAATACAAAAAATTTATTTTTGTGCATAAGCCCAAGTTTCTCAAAGCTGAAAACTCATATTATGTTTTTCATAAAAAAAATAAAAAATAATGTTTTAGCATGCATTTTGGTTTTGATAACTAGTTTATTAAAATCAAGAGAACATTGACCAAATTTTCAAAAATCAAAAAAAATTATTTTGCTTTTCTTTTAGTATCCGAGGTGCGATATTATATGTAACATGTATTTTGAATATTAAATTCTTTTTTTTCGGACGCTAGAACGGTTAAATTTTATCCTATTAAGATAAGAACATCCTTACAGAGGATAGCTTTTTTAAAATATTAATGCATATATAGACAGACAATTAGAAACCACAACAAGACTTTAGATTTTATCAGATAACAAAACAATGTAGTTTATCTTAGGCAGGGCATAGTTGAGATAGTAATATCTTTCATTTACGTAATTAGTCTCCGTATCCCATCTGATCCTTGAGACCAGTTAGAGTTCCTAGTAACTAGAATATTAGGTGACAACTTCCATTCAAATTTTCCACTAATAAAAGACAAGAATTCCTTGTCTCTCCATATTTACCTAGATAGACAACACATTTGAGGATAGATGATCGTCGCGATGCTACACACGTGTGACATAATGGCGACTCCACTAGGGACCAAGTGAACTAAGCTTTGTTTTTGTTTGATTATTATGTTTTATTATTTGGTTTGTGTCATTTTTAATATGTATTTCCTCATTTGATCATATGCTTAAATTTCATACATATTTATTTGCATTGTAAAATTGCTTCATGCATCATTCACATTTTTGCACGAGTCACATTGCAAATTCTAGGTTAAGTGGTAGACTAACAGCTTACCTTACGACTTTTAGTAAAGGTTTAAGTTTGTGTAAACCTCAACTCTTTGCTAAGTGCTTAGACTGGTAATGATTAGTGCATGCCATCTTGACACGACTAAAAGATTGATGTCTTCTCCCAAGTGCAGGAGTGTCGAAGTAATAAATAACCCGGCAAGACCGGGGTCGAACCACAGGGAGGTGAATTGTACAAATTATAAACGACAATAATACAACAACAATAATAATA